GGTAAAATATACGACAGGTCTGGACCACTCGTAAATTTTGTTCGTATCTGAAAAAATTCTTAGAATACGAAAACATTGGTGAATGCCACAAATTCTCCTAAATCACTCGTACGCACAATTTAAGAACAAATCTGTGCGTACGAACGGTTCTTGCATGAGGCCCAATCTAAAGAAGCAGCAGATTGTCTTGAATCTTCACTTCGTCACAGTCTCCCATCCTGAGCAGCACATCGGTAACAGCGGAGAGGAAAAACTCCCTTTTAACAGGAAGAAACCTCCAGCAGAACCAGGCTCAGGACAGGCGACCATCTGCCTCGATCGGCTGAATTTGAGGAGACAAGAAAGAGACACAGACAAACACAGATGGCAGGTTTTGTCAGTCCTACCAGTCTTCAGCTCGAAGGAGACAAAGACATGACACCTTAGCCATTACAGAGTAGCGGTTAGTGTTAGCGTCAGCTAATTTTTACTTGTTTAGCATTAGCAATTCTGCAATTTTTTTAATTTATCCTGATGCATCTTAGTAATCCAGGTAGAAAAAATCAAAAAGAAAAAAAGAATAAGCAGGCCCTCTGAATGGGTTCTCCTTTAGGGGTTCAACGTCCCTTTGTTTTTGACAAAAACAAGGGGACGTTGAACCCCGCTTGCACTCACTACATAAACATAACAAAACACCAAATAACCACAGCCGAAGCATCCAAACCGATAAATCAGATGATGGGGCACATAACCCTCTATGAACAACAGAGCTAAACAAGCCTATTGTTAGGCGATGGTCCTCTTTTGCATGTGACTAATTGTCCACCATGTGGAGGCAGTGGTTAAAAGGCTGAGTTCACCTGAAACTTATCAGACTGAAGAAGTCTCTTGGAGGAGAGACGAAACATTTCACTAAAGGAGAACCCATCCAGAGGACCTACGTTTTTTTTTCTCTCTTTTTTTGATTTTTTTGTTCAGCAGTTTAATGTTAATGAAGCTAGCGGATTGGCGAAGCTAACGRTTTGCTTAGCCATGCCGACCAATGACCACATATTTTTAGCAACAGAGTTAAAACAAAAATGAAGTTTGTAAAACACAAGTATCCATCCTTTCACTTCCTAGGTTTTATGCTTCATAAAATAAAAAATACAAAAAAAAAAACATCAAGGGGACAACAGCGTAAAAATATCACAATAAGTTGAATCAAATGTGAAAAACCGTTCAGCATAGAGATGTTTTCTTCATAAGGCTGGTTGTGTTTGTCAATCAATAAAAAAATGCAAATCAGCACAAAACCACGGAACAGAACAAAAACTGTCACGTTTGTCAAATTTAACAACGTTGTGGGTTTGAATATTTCGATTAACTCTTTGACCCCTACCCACAATGCTGTGCACGCAGAAAACTATGAAATAGTCTATTGAAAGATGGCGCTCATTTTTTACCACCAGTATATATATATTTTTATCTACAGTATATTCAGTAAACTAAAGTGCCAGAATATTAAACTTTGAATACAAATAAAGTTAAAAACTCATTCAGTGTTTTGTAAAGTTAAAATGATCAGCACAGCTGGGTCAAAGTTAATAAATTAGATATACTGTAAATATAAAAAATGTTTCAGCCTCTACTCGTCAAACGTCTTGCTCTATATGCTTAAGAAAAGAAGAAAGTACCCTGATGCTGATATTTTAGTTAGTGGTGTGAGACACTTCCTGTTTCCTGTGTTCTAGACAGTGGAACGAGAAAAGCTCGTTTATTTTTTTCGGCATCTCAGCTTGTAACAATCCGCAGCTTTGTGAGAGGAAGTGAACAGTCTATATGAAGCTATTAATGACAGCGACCAGCACAAGCAGCCCTGAAACAAAAGTAAATTAAAAGTTTCTGTTTCTGTAGAAAAAGGTTCTAACATGAACAATCCAACTTCTCCTTTTACAGGCTGCTTCCTTTAGGAGGCACTGGTGCCAAGACAGATGTTAGAAGAAACTCTGGATTGCCCAGCTCGTTGACTTTTATGATTTCATCATAAAATAGAAGTCAAGCAAAAAATCCCAGAGATGAGACGATTCAAAGCAACAGAATGTGCAACTCTAACCCAGGGGTCTGCAACCTTAGCAATCAAAAGAGCCATTTTTGTCAATTTACTCACTAAATAACACGTGTACTGAGCTGCAAAACCAATAAAGCAACAAATTATTTAATTCACTTTTTTAATTTTTTTTATAATTCCTAATATTAGTAAACTGACTCGCCATTTTTCTTCTCAGCAACTTGTTTAAAAGGTATTCCAGAAATTGTGAGGTGTATTTCAAGAAAAAAAAGCCACTGTAATAAAGCTGATAAACTTGTTAAGAAGCTAACAAACAACTAGCATGATCTGCTCACCTTCACAAAGCTAGCTTTATCTGTTGTGGGAATAAAAATCTATAAAACATAGTTTCATGTTAGTTTTGCTCAAAGCTTCAAAGAACCGTTGCAGAGGGACCAAAGAGCCATGTGTAGCCCCAGAGACACAGATTGAAGATCCTTGATCTAAGTAATCATCCCCAAACTGAATATCATATCCTCACTACTTTCCTGTAAACCTTCCGATTAAGCCCAGGAGGAACAGGATTAGACCTGGAATCTTTACAATGTCACTGAAATTTAATTCCATGCTACGAAATAACTTTTTTTTATGATGTCTTAAAGGAGTGTGGTGTGTAGGATTTGTTGTTTTCAGCGACATCTAGTGGTTGAGTGGTTGAATCATCCTCCCTGGTCCTCCCCCCACCCCCACCCTCCACTTCCAAACACATAGGAGTTGCTACGGTGTCTCTGAGGTGTCAAAAACCTTTGATAATTCCAACCGCGATGTCTACCAGCAGCTTCAGGGCTAGTGATGTTTCAAGTGGTAAGATTATGAGCTTTAATAAGTAAAATTATCCCAGCTACAATGACAGACAACAAATATTACATTTATAGTATTACAACTAAAACCGTTTTTGACGCCGCCACCGCAGTTTGTCCTTCATGAGCCTTCGTAGACAAGATGGCGGTGCAAGATGGTGGCTGCCTGTAGTGGCGACCCGCGACCATTTTTTATAAGGTAAAAATAATAAAACAAGGTCTTTGTCTGCAATGATTAGACATGTTTTTTCTTATTGTCATTAGTGATTATCTCAATTTCGGCTAAAAGAATTGACAAAATCCTACACACTGTGCCTTTAAGCCTGAAATATGAGCAAATTTTACACCAGCAGCCATCTTGGATTCCCTTTTGAATTCCTCAAAAGTCCCAATGGAGATCCTTGGGAAGTTTTAGTATGTTATTTGTGACAGTTTGCGAAACATTTTCGAAAAGTTTCAGCTTGTTACAAATGTGTTCCAGTTCTGACTCATATTTACTCCRAGACGTCTGACACTCACCCCCACCACCACGTCTGCACTCTCTTCTCTCCCTCTTTGCTTTGGGTGGTCAGCTCCAGGTACCTAACCTRTCTGCTGCCTTTCACTCATAGGTTAAACTCCTCCACCTTCAACACCTCTACTTCTAGCAGTGTCTCTGGTTCATCTGACTCCTTCTCATTCCCACGAGTTCTGTCTCACTTCTCCTGACTTTTATTCCTCTTCTCTTCACAGCAGTCCTCCACCTCTTCAGGCTCTCTTCCACCTGCTCCCTACTCTCARTGCAGATCGTAGTGAACATCATAGCTGACCTCATGGGTAACCCTGTACAACAAGAAAGGGCTCAGGGCTGACCCCTGATGAGATCCCACTTTCATCTTGAGCCTCTGTTACTTCTACTGAATGTCTCACACTGTCTCAGATACAATACTGTAGTCTCTTTTTGGCACCTGTGCTATCAATCAATCAATCAATCAAACTTTATTTATAAAGCGCAATAACATCAGCCACTGCTGAAACAAAGTGCTGAACACATGAAATAAAAACTGAAAACAAAAACACAATAAAATCACACAGTTAAGTAAGTAAAATCAGCACCAATACAGTAAAAGTTGAGTAAAATCAAATCTCAGTTGGGTTGAAGGCCAGTGAGAAAAAATAAGTTTTTAAACGAGTCTTAAAAATGGACAGTGAAGGGGCCTGTCTGTGCTAGAAATAATTACATAACTCTGCCTGATCATTATGTTCATATTGCTTTGACATTCTATTTTGTATCTCTTTGCTAACTGCTATAATCTGTTTTACACGATTCTGAGACGTCATTTGATGTCTGTGGACCTTGTTCTAATTTCTGTGTAACTTCTGCAATTTGTCATTTTGCCATTGGTTTGTTCGAGACTCCGCCCAGATGTATATACCTGTATTTCCTGTGGCTATGCTAGTCAGTTTGCGGTGGTGCTCAGGGCTTTGATTTTCACTGATCACCTCGCGGCTCATCTATAAATTAAATCATCAAAGACCATCCGCGCAGTGCGCTCTCTTTTTATTCACGTGTTTCTGCCCGTTAATAAATATTTCTACGACACACCCTATGTACATTTTCTCTAGTTCCACAAAGACAGTGCAAATCCTTTCCACTTTTTCTGGACTTCTCCATTAAGACACTCTAAGAATCTTGTCAATGTAGCACATAAGGCAGGAAAACAACATTAAGGTCTTTATTTGTTCCTGTGGCTAATTTGTAGGGATGCACGATATATCAGCAGTAACATCGGTATRGACCGATATTGGTTATTTTTTAGAATATCGGTATCGGCCCGATATGTAAAACTGGGCCGATGTTAATGTCCGATATTGGTTTTCCACTTTTTAGTTTTGTGTTTCTGTTTTGGGAGAGGAATGGTTGGTCGAGTGATATCTGTTTGATCATGATAGTGATGCTGCACAGCCAGTAATAACTGAAGTAGAGAGCCATGTTAGAGGTCTGGTCATTTATTTATGGTATCAAAATAAAGACAAAAGTGTGTTTGTGCGTGTATGTATTTAAATAATTTGTGTTTGTGTAATATCGGTAAATATTGGTTATCGGCCATTATAGCAATAATCYTATCAGATATAGGTATAGGCTGAAATTTTCATATCGGTGCATCCCTACCGCTTTTGATAATAAATCTTCCATCAGGATCTTTAACTTACGTTTATACGGTGAAGAAATATTCACAGACGCTACGGGAGAATCAGGGGGTGCTTCCAAAATTGGCTCCAGCAGGTCTTGGTCCGAGTTCGGTCTCTGGGTGGGATTTTTAAWCTGACCAGGGTTTGGTGCTCTGAGAGGCGGGGTTGGGTTCTGGTTTGATGAATTGATGCAAGGCTCAAAGACAGAGCTGCTAAGGGTTGGATCTTGCTGGGCCGACGTTGCCGCTTCAGTTGTGGGGGACGCCCAAGTGGTGGTCCCGCTGCGACTGCCCACGGAACCAGATTTCGTCAGGAAGAAACCACTGCTGTCCTGAGAGGCCGTGCTGAGGGCGAAGAAACAAACAAAGATGCTTTGAGTTCATTTGGGATTTTGTCGCGGTACTTTCACAAGGATTGGTCACTGAACACTCGTTTGTTTGTGACAGMWGTTTCTTCAGCTATACTATAACAGACCATTTCATCTGTTGGAGCATAAGGGCTTAAAAATAAATTAAAATTAAATGTAAATTAAATTAAATTTAAACTGTTGGGTGACTTAAAACTCTAAAAGTTTATCTTGAAATAATAATAATAATAATAATAATAATAATAATAATAATAATAATAATAATAATAATAATAATAATAATAATAATAATAATAATAATAATAAAAGTGCCTCTCAGGACACTGTACACATTAAGAAACAAAGCGTTAAAATGAATGTATTAAAAAGACCAACAATCATAAATAAAAATAAAAAATACACCAAATGAGTTAAGAGGGATAAGCGATGGATTTTCAGAAGGTTTAGAGAGGTGGAGGGAGGAGGCAGATCTGGGAGAGCAGGAGGGGATGGAGGTGTAGGAGGTCAGTTAAGTATGGAGGTGTGAGACTGTGGATGTTTTTGAAAATGTGAAGAATAATTTGGAAAATAATGTGAGATTTAACCCAGAGCTAGTGGAGCTGCTGCAGGATGGGAGGGATGTGGTTATAGGAGGATGWTTGGGGTAATGACACTGGCAGCTCAGTTCTGAACCATCTGGAGCTTCTGAAGAGATTTATTGGGGAGGCCAAAGAGAAGGGAGTTGCAGTAATCGATCCGGGACCCTCACAAGACTGTGGACAAGGACGGCAGTGGAGCGTGGTGTGAGAGGTTAACTCACAGGGTTAGGTTGCAGGGGTAGTGAACATGAGTACAAAATGGCAAAAACTAAGAACCAGGTGAAAGTGCGAAGTGGCAAAAATATAAAAAATGTGTTGTCCCTGTGACAGCCTGTGAAACCCTGGCTAAATACCTATCAAAGAGACAGCCATGATTATGCTATTTCATTAGAGTAACAGGTAGCATGGGAGCATGCAAACAGAGAAAAGCTAGTGTTTTTATGGAAAGGTACCTGTTTGTTTTGGAGACAGGGAAGTGATGAGAAGAGCAGGAGGAGGCTGTGGATGAAGCAGAGGAAACTGTTCTGCTCAGTTTATCCTTCTCAGAGAAGAAAGCCTGTGCAGCTGGAGCTGGCACTGCCAGAGCTTCAGGTGAATCTGGGACCTCGAAGGATTCAGCTGTTCACAAAACAAAGAAAACAACAAGTTTATAAGATGTTATTCTGTTGAAACTAGGTGATTTMATTAGATCTAGTTAAGCTCATCATGTCTGAGATGAAAACAATACAGTGCTAAAAACCTACATGTGAGTTTAATGATTATATTTACTGTTCAACACTGGTTTACAATACACACTCATAATAAAACCATTGTTTCTTTCAAATGTTTATAGTTTACACGCAAAGCAATATTTTCAGTGAAACATTTTCTATGTTTAAATTTCAAACTTAAACTTAAATGTGCAGTATGATGCATTAAAAAACAAAACAAATACAATAAAATGTAGGGTTATCAGGAATCGTATGCTATGATTTTAGTAGCTGCATGTTGTGCAGCCTACACAAAATAATAAAAAAAATTAAATAGCATTTTTTTAAATCTAAGCATTTTCATGTAAACAATAACAGGATTTTGGAGGAAACCAGCCCTCTTTGGAACTCTACAACTCAGACACACCTCACAGCAGAAACATTGTTCAAACCTTAAATGATTCAGTAAACTGTAAACAATTGTAATTTAAAAATTGTGACCTAACTGGTATTTTGATATCTTACTATAGATTTGCATGATTTTTTAAGATTTCACTATGAAATGTTCAACTTATACACTCTTCTAAGCCATCTACCTTTTTCTAAATTTTTGCAAACTTGTTTTTGCCACACTATTTAGACTTCCTGTAAAGCACATTTGTCAGACTCAAGGCCCACGGGCCAAATGTGGCCTGCCACGGCATTTTATGCGGCCCACAGGAACTTCAAAGATGTCTTAAAAAAAGCTCATGTTGCTGTAAGTTAGCATTAACAACAAACCACATTTCTCATAATGCATGTTGATTATTTTACCTGCAAAATGACAACATCCCACCACTTGGTGGAGCTGCACAGGGTTCAAAAGTAGCTGGCAGTTAGCAAAATTCTGTGTAAAATCTCCAATTTGKTGCATTTTTGCCAGCTACTTTTGCTGTGGCCCAGTTGTACCGGGAAGTGGGAATTTCCCACTTATAAGTGGTAAAGTTAAACAGGAATGCCCTTCCAGTGGGAATTCTCTATCAGAAAATGGGAGACATCAGAATTCAAGATGGCAGCTACTCATCACAACTCGTGATGAAAAACTCTCTTACATTTACTTTTCATTGTGTTTCTCTATTATTTACATTTCTTTCTCACTTTTCAGTGTTTGTAAGAGGATGTGTTAAACACTGTTTCTATGTAAGTAATACTACATAGAGCTCAATTATTGTTCGTCAGAGGTGCTCAGCCATAGAAAGGAGACAATGAATGTAATGTTCTSTGTCTAGTCTAAGTTAAACATGAAATGTCAAAGTTTTTTGGAGGCAGCCGTAATGAAGCCTTTGGTTAAAATGAGTTTGAAACCCCTGCTACAGTTTATACATGGAGGCAGGCAGTTTGCTCATGTTTCATTCAGTGTCTCTCACAGCTATAGAACCTTTGGTTTTCTCTCACCATCCAAACTTTCATTAACTTCTAGTGTGTCTGAGCTCAGTATTTCTTTTTCTTAAAAAATAAAAGTTGAGTGTTTTAGTTTTTTATACCTCTTATATAAAACACTGTTTAGACACAAAAGTTTAGCCAATATTTTTGCACCAGACAGAACAGGATATTTTAACATGACTAGTTTCTGCACAGTGACTGTGTGTGCTGCATTAATGTCTGGTTTTACTACGAGTGCTGTCGGGGTAGGACAGACAGCTGTGGGATTACTGCAGTGATAAAAATAAAACGTTTACTTCAAGTAAGTCTCAAATTGTGACTGGGTTTTAGAGAACTTGTTGAAAATTTTAAGCAGAATTTATAACGTCTCTCTTCAAAATTTCTTTAGAAACTTTCTTGTTGTGCGTTTAAAGTGTTTGTGATGGATCCCAGCTATTCCTCTGTTTAAACATGAYCATCTGCAGGGTGCAGTTGCATTTGTTTGTTTCATACCTTCTGGAAAAAGACTGGAGCTGTACTGAATCAGAGGCTCAATAACCGTCACCACCTGGACTGAAGAAGCTGAAGCCATGTCAAACATAGCAACTTCCCTATAAAGATGCAGACACATGAACATGCACTTTAAACTGCAGAATGATGCAAAATTAGATCTTTAACCAGAATTGAAACTTGTGGGAAAAAAAATTGAACTGATTAAGAGAAATGGGGTCAGTATCTTATTGCAGTCATTAGGTGGAAGTTGTTATCATGAGTATTGGGTAAAACAATGAAGTGGCAAACTCAGARAATAAAAAGGTTTACTTCAACTAGATGCAGCTTTATATGTTAAACRTGGCTGGTGTTAGTGAATGGAGCTGCTCACCCCTCAACCTGTGGCCAGAGCAGGTTTGGTCCCAGCACGATGGCGATGTTACTYGGGGTCATTTTGTTTACAGCCTGCTGCTCAGACAGCAGAGACAAGAACTGGACCAGATACCTGGCAGGTAAAAGAAGAAAACAAATGTGGGAAAGTAAACCAAAAATACATTTTTGTCACAGCGGGTTGAGCATTATTTACTTTTGGTGCACAGGATGAAGGCCAAGAATTGAAAAAAAAAAAAAGCTTATTGAACTCAAACTACAGGATAAAAGTACTTTCATAAACCTCGTGAAAGTTCTGCAGAAGCCTGATAATCACCCATTTATTCAAATCAGGTGTGTTGGAGCAGAGAAACAAGTAAAACATGCAGGGCTGTGGCCCTCGAGGACCAGGATTGCCCACCCCTGGATGATTAAATAACTGATATGTTTAGGGCTCTATGAGAAGGGCTTATTTCTTCAGTTCGTTTTTGTGTTTTGTTTTTTTTTGTTGTTGTTGTTTTTTTGCATTTACTCTATTTCTAAATTGTCCCTGAGTCTGAGCTCGGTTGTGTTATAAATCATTGAACCTGCCATGTTTCAAGCCACAGCCATGCTTTAATTTAGTTTCACTCACAGCCTGCTCGTTCATGCTTCCTCCTCCCGTCACTGTTCTGCTACAGCCCCGCCTACTCTACAATTAAGTTCTTTCATTCCACCTGTCAAACCCTGTATTTAATCCTGTCACCTTTCACAGTTCCCTGCCAGATTATTGAACGGTCTAACCAAGTAAATTCTCCAGCGATCCCTCATGAGTTCTCTTGCCTGCCTCTGTCTGACCTTGTTTCTGCTCCTTGGACCCATACCTCTCGCCTCGCTCCTTGTCGGTACTTCCTGTTCATTGGACCCACGGATCTTGACCACGGACCTCCTCTCATGGATTTCGCCCCACGCCTCTGCCCTTCTCGGTACCTCTGAAATCTCTGATCCTTGGTTTTTGACACAAGCTTTCTCTCTGGAACTCGGCTCCGCTCTGCACTCACTTCCTGAAACTCATTACGTTCCTCCGCAGTCTTACTGGAGTAAAAACTCGTTCTGGACTTCACGAAAAGTTCTAAGAAGTTTAGTGGATTTGATTACCACAAATCTCCTTGTTTCATGCTCTCCCACTAATCTTAATTTCTTGTGTGCAGAGAATTGGAGTTTCGGTCCCACGCTCCAGATCGCCCCAGCCATTCACAATAAAGATTGTAACTTTTATTGTTTGGAGTCACCTTGGAACTCAAAATATCATTCTTATCAYGTTGTTTGTCTCTGTGTGACCCAGTGATAGACTTGTAACCACCCCAGGGTGTACCCAGCCTCCAGTGAATCGTGGGGCATAGGCACCCAGAATGAAAAAAAAAAAACAAGGAAAGAAAACAGATGGATGGTATGAGCAGCTTTCAATTAAGTATTGTAAAAGTACCTATAAAGTGTTCACGTCTCATATCTCCTTTACTTTGATTTCCACAAATGGGCTACTAGCTCTGCATAAGCATGTARGAAACAGCCACACACCTGAGGTTATTGTAGTTCTCAGAGGGCAGCCTCTTCAGTAGCTCCCTGAACTTCTCCAGCCTCTCAGCTAGATCTTTTTCCCTGTGAGACCAGAAAGAAAACTCAAGAAACAGACTACAATAATAAAAAATGGAGAGAGTTGTGGYAGTTAGACTTAGACAAGAGCTGACTGGTTGTGATCAGTATTATGGTTACATGTCAAGAGAACAACACAAGTGGCATATTTGCTTTGAGGATGCTAATGTAGAAGRACAGAAAGGGTTAGAAAGAACTTGATTGTGGATTTAGAAAAAGAATAGGAGAGGGTGTCGAGAAAGGAACTTTGGTGTTTTATAAGGGAAATCTGGAGTACAGAGTAGTAAGTTAGACTGGTACAAGACATCTATGAAGACAACAGGACTTCCATGAGATGTGCAGTGTGAGTAACAGATAGCTTTAAGCTTTAAAGGGGTAAAATCATGATCATGAAATCATGATCATCATCATAAATGATCATGTAAAATCAAATTTTGAGTTTTTTATCATGTTACACTCTCATAAAAAGCATGCCCAAAGCCTTGCTCTGACTCATTCATGCATGTTTGAGAAATCCTGCAGTGTTTTTGGGCAGCCATGCTAAGGAGCAAAACGACAGGTGGGGACCAGAAACGCCTTTTGGTACCAGGAACGCCTCAGGGAGGTGTCTTTAAGCCGAACTTCATCAAAGAGCTCCCCACCACACACACCCCGCCCATGACTCCTGCAGGCTCTCGGCAGTAACAAAGCAAACGAATGAAAGTGAAACTTAAGCTGTCTGCTAAGATCCACTACTTACTCAGTGAAGCTCTTTTCAGATTCAAAATACATTTGAGGAAATGTATTTTCAGATGCCAAGTAAACTGCATCATAGCGCATACGTGAAACAACCCTCCCCCGACTGAAATTTACGGGACYGAAGCGGAAGGTGGTTCTTAAAGAYACAGAGGCCAATTTCAAGGTGTTTAGAAACAGATATGATGAGAAGATAAGTTTATTTTCTATTTAAACATAAAAACGGCATTTTAATAACAACTAAAGGTYACATAGATACTTTATTATGGTATAGTATTTAAATATATGCCTGAGAAACACATAATACTGGCCCTTTAAGGTGGACYTGGGACTGCATCAAGGATCGGCTTTCAGACATTTCTTGCTGCTGGTGATGGACAAAATAACATAATGAGGTCRGGCAGYTATTCCCATGAACTATAATGTTTGCAGATGACAGTGTGATCTGTGGTGAAAACAGAGAACAGGTGGAAGAGAACTTGGGGAGGTGGAAGTTAGTACTTGAAAAAAATGGAATGAAAGTCAGCCGTAGCTAGACAGAGTACATATGAGAGGGAGGCAGGTGGAGGAGRGGTGAAGCTATGAGGAACAGAGGTCCCAAAGGTTCGGGACTTCAAGTACTGAGGGTTGAATGTCCAGGAAAACAGGTAGTGTGGCAAAGAAGGGAGTTTGTATCTATCTTCTTCTGCTTATCCATATTCAGGTTGCYGAGGCAACAGGTCCAGGAGGGAAACCCAAAGAACCCTCTCCCCAGACACACTTTCCAGCTCATTTTGAGGGACCTTGAGGCCTTCCCAGGCCAGAGAGGATACATAATCCTTCCYGCGAGTCCTGGGTCTTTGCCAGGGCCTCCTACTACTGGGACGTGCCCACTAAAAGACACTAAAAATACAAAAACTCCTCCACTTYAGGCAGAGACTCTCCCCAGACCTGGAGGGGGCATTCCACCCTTTTCCAGTTGAGAACCATGGCCTCAGACTCAGAGGAACTGACTTTCATCACAGCCACTTGACACACGGCTGTAAACTCCACCRGTGCACACTGAAGGTCTTGGTCTGAAGACYCCAACAGAACCACATCATCTGCATTCAGCAGAGATGAGACCCTGTGMTTCCCAAACCAGACACCCTCCTCTCCAGGACTGTGCCTTGAGATCCTGGCCATAAAAACTACAAARAGGATTGGAGACAAGGGACAGCCCTGACAGAGTCCAACACACACTGAGAACAAGCTTGACTTTGTGCCAAGAKTGCGAGCACAGCTTCTGCTTTGGTTATGTAGGGACTGGATTGCTCTTAATAGCAACCCAGACYCTCCATACCCCRGCAGGACACCCCATGCCTCAAGGAACATGGTCATAAGCCTACTCCAAGTCAACAAAACACATGTAGACCAGACAGGCAAACTCCCACAACCRCTTAGCAACTCTGCAAGGGTAAAGAGATGCAGGATATAATGGATGGAGAAAATGTTCAGGAGTGACTTATGATYGTGGCAACAAAATTCAGGGAAAGGTTTACAAGAGAGTAGTGAGACAAGCTATATTGTCRGGTTTGGAGACAAAAGGACAGGAGACAGAACTGAAAGTGTCAGAGCTGAAMGTGTGGAGGTTTTCCTTGGGAGGGACAAAGGTTGATAATATTATGAATGAGATATCAGAGGTACAGCACAGGTTGAACCACTGGRAGATAAAGTTAGAGAGGCCAGACTGAGATGGTTTGGACATGTCCAGAGGAGGGACAGTGGGAATATTGGTAGAAAGATATCGGAGCTGCAGCTGCCAGGAAAAAGACGAAGAGGAAATGTATGGATGTCGTTAGAGATGGACATGGAGGTAGTTGGAATGAGGTCAGAGAACTTATACAGCTAGCACACACACCCTGCTGCTTGAAACCAGTCGTTGTAGAGTTCAAAGGTCAGCAGAGGTTCGGGTAATTCTCGAAGGTAACACTTCAAAGCACCTGTCAACAAATAAAGAAGATAATCTCAAGAATCACARYCAACATTTAACACCCTTATTTAACTGTTGGTTAACAGTTATAACCTGTAAGGTTATCATGTACACGTGGTTGTACATGTACACAGTACCACGCAAACTATGACATATCTTTCTCYACATAAATAATATTTAAAGCAAGTTCCTCCTGGTGTTGCTTGGTGTTACCAAAAAAGGAACCGAGTCACTAAAATGASCTGTGAAAGTCACATGGGCCAAACAGACGAGGAAGAGCACCCATGACAGAAACCRGGGCTCCAAGCAGGAAAAAACAAAAGAAAAGACAAAGATCCTTACCGGCAACAGCATGGGGGTCCATGCTGAACTCGCTGTGGTCCACCATTCCTTGATCCAGACAAGTCTTTAACCTCTTTACCACTGAAGCTGCTGCAGCCAGACGAAACAAACCCTACAAAAAGATGAAATGAAACAAAATGGATCAAAACAATCCTGAAAAAACACAGGAATGACCATGTAGTTGTAGACAGGAAGTAGCTTGTTAAAGTAAAGTAGAAACACTGACACTAAAACCAGAAAACTTGTAAAGAGAGTATAAGTAGTTGCCTAAAATAAATTTCTCACTAATACAAGAAGTTTTGATGTTATTTTGTTTGTGTTATCTGAAATMATCTATCTGTAAAGTCGATTTACGTCTGATCTACCTCCTCTCTCATGCCTGTTCTCAGCAGCATCTGAATGCATTCTTGAATGGGAGCTGCGATTTCCCTGTTGCTTCGAGWCAAGTGTGAGAGCAGAGGTTCTCCGTAGACCTTCTGGTTAGAGAGGCTTTGCGTTGATCCTGCGAATCAGAAAAGTGCCCATAAAATCTAAAAGTAAAACCAACACAGCATGCATGAAAGTTGCACCTGCAAAGACGAGAACAATTCGAGATCACCTTTATCACTGTAATTCTCTTTGAGCTCGTTGATGTTTTTGTTCAGGAACTCGTGTGAGTTCTTGTAGTACTCTGCCTGCAGCTCYAGAAGCTGTTTATTGTTTAAAACAAGAAATGCATTGGATGTATAAAAAAACAAAAAAAAAAACAATCTTTGGTTACAGTACAGCTCAGAWGGTCAGCACTACAACTCACACGGATGAAATAGTTAGCATAGTCATCTTCCTTGGTTGCAAAGTGGTACAAGTCAGCAGAGTACTGGTCCTACAGGGTCCAAACAACAGGAAAGTCAAGATACCACAAGACAGTAAAGGTTCAGATTGTTGCTCATCAATCCTACAGCAAAGTAGGTGGTTGCAAAAAAATCTCAACTTGATACCTTGATGCTTTCCAACTTCCTCCACGCTTCTTCTACTTCCTCCCTGAGACCATCCTGCTTTGCCTGGGGGCCATTGCTGGTTTGACTCCTGTGAAAGAAAACACAAATCTGTTGATTATTGGTACATAATCTAACTAACACACACAATCCTAACTAAAGTTACATACCTGATCCTTGCGTTGTTCCAGTCTGTGGTCAACTTGGCAAACTGCTTCTTGTTCTTCAGGATCTCTGGCAAATCTTCCTAGAAGGAACATGTTTGCTTTTAATGCTCATCCAGCTGCAGCCAGTTCTCCATGCAGCTGAATGGGTGGTTCAGCAGAATGAAGAAAATGGCTGACCAAGCATAGCGATTTACTGAGAAACTTCAGTGAAATAAATGAGCTGTGAGGTTTTTTTAAATTTTTTAATTGTTAGCCAGCAGACAAAGTTATATGTGCAGCTAGATGGGGGTCAAGTTAAAGTGAAACAGTAATGGCTTTGATTCATATTAAAGGTGTATTTTAGAAGTTATTGGTTTGAATAGAAGGCTACAGACAAATGATTCATAGTGTCTAATACATTTGTCTGACTAATATTCCCTTTGTTTGTGTTCTAATTATTGTGATAGAAACTATACTTTGCACTAACTCTCCCTCTTGGGTTTCCTCTCACATGGAGCATCTTGTAACCATGGAGGCCAAAGCATCCATTTATACTTTCTTCCAGTTACCAGTGGTTGAGTCATGGAGGTGACAGGTTCAGCAGGGAACCCCAGACATCCCTCATCCCAGCCACTGTCTCCATTTCCTAAGAGATCTCAGGGCATTCTTTGGCCAGAAACAAAGCCTCAAGTGAGTTCTGGTCCCTATTCTGTGCTAGGCATTGGTTGTCCATAACAAATACCATGTTCAAGTATAGGTGTACTCATGCCATAAATTTACTTTGTATCATGTCAAGGTAGTCCAAAGGTCAATGATTGATTTTGTAATCATGTCATCTGAACTGCAGCCCTATGTCTCAGACACTCGGGTGAAGAGAGGGACTGAGTAGTGAACTGATCACCACATGGTGGTGCGTTGAATCTGGTGGCGGGGGAGGCTGCAAACATTTTCTAAAACAGACCTGGTAAACCCAAACTCATAGTGACATGAACTGGAAACGTCTAGTACAGCCTCTGTTCCTGCGATCTTCAAATCACACCACCGGGAGAGGTTTTCACACGACTCGGGGGAGGTCGGGGACAGGGAATCCAAATTGGCCATGTTCAGGGCCTCCATTGCAGGTATAGCTTCCAGGAGCTGTGGCCTGAAGCTTCATCAGTGTCTGTCACAGCAGTAACCAAAAGACCTGCTGGTGTTCACCAGGAGGTCATCAAGCTCAATAAGGAGGCCTCCAACCCAGAGGGTTTAATGCTTTTTCAGGCTGAATCCTTGTTCTCTTTGGACAAGAACACTGCAATTCCAACTGAGATTTATCATCAATATTTCCTAAAGGTGACTTTAATGATTTGCAGCTTCTCCTCTCCTCAAAGCCTTCCAGTAAGGTGTCCCACACAAAGCCCAAATCCCATATTTTGTGGTTAAAAAAGCTATATTAAATGGGAAAAATAATTTGATTAAAACAATAAAAATCTACTATAACTTGCAGCGGAAACAGCTACTACCTCACTAAGTTTATTAAGAGGCTCCAAAACCTCCTTTTCCACTTTCATCTCAAAGTCTGCCAGCATCTTGGCCAGCATCTTCTCCATGAAACAGCACATCTCCAGCACTCTCCTGTGACACACGGACAGACAGAAAGACGTTTACAGTTGAATCTAGTGAAGCGACACACAAAGGATTTGTTGCACTGTAAGAACTGACTAGAGTCTATAAGTGACTGATAAATGAATGGGTGGTTGGGTAAAAGGAGAAGATCAAACTTGTCACCTGATTGAGGAGACTGCATCAAAGTCTTTGAGGCTTTCTGCCATGCTGACGGACAGCAGCATCAGTGGAAGCTTTTTCTGACAATAAATAAATAAATAAATAATACTAAAAAAACAGTGAGATTTTTTAACTGTGAAAGACGGTTTCAGATTTTGAAGGCCTTTCAGTACCATTCTTTTTTCAGCCTCCAGTCCTGGTTGACTCTGCATGCAGCACTGCAGCTTCTTGTGGAGGACCTGAGCCGCCTTCTTGGCTGGCTCCACCCGCTGCTCCACCTACAGAGAAAAAAAATAAAATTTAGAAAAATATGTGATAAAATCATTTTATGCAGTAAACCTTTTAAGATGTTAACATTTGTTTACAGTGAATGTATGTATGCCGTGTTAGTAGAAGAAATTTATCCAAAACCAGCAAAAATAAATAAATAAATAAACAAGATCTATGTTTAGGTTTAGAAAGTTAATAAGGTGACACATATGTCAGTGTAAAACAAGAAGGAACTCTATTTCTCACCATAACAAGGTCTTCATGTAGGAGGTCAGTGGCATCTTGCGATCTGCGGCAGAACGCAGTTTGTTACAAAATGTTTTCAAAACTTGGTTCTAACAGGTATTACCACAATTATTATTAGTTATCATTCTGTGATGGATGAATGAATGAATGAATGAATGAATGAATGAATGAATGAATGAATGAATGAATGAATGAATGAATGAATGAATGAATGAATGAATGAATGAATGAAACAACAAAAGCGGATGAAGGATGAACAAATCAAAAACTTAATGCTTAAAACACACTAATTCTCCTCAATCCGGGAACATCAATCTCACACAAACGGGGGGGGNGGGGGGGGGGGGGTCACCAGGTGAAGACCCACCATAAACAGACCCCATCCAACATGAAAGGCAAAAGCCTCCAAATCAGACACAGTTCAACAGAACTGAACAATGTCAACACTCGTGCACACATCAAAACCGTAACAAAGCTACTGACTGGAATCTTGATAAGATTGCTAATCAGGTGACTTACTTTGACCCAAAACCAGGACGTTATAATGACATCACAAGGTATCTAGGTGACATTGAGTTTAATCTCAAACGTTTTCAAAACATGACGACAGACAATAGGTTGTACCTAATAAAACGCACCTCAAGCAAAATGGTACGGGACTTTATTGATCGTCAAATGGCCTCCATTAAAGGAGACTATAACATGATGTGCAGAGCATTAGAGGAGGAATTCTCTAAAGAGAATATATGCAGAGTTGTTCTAGCAGATAAAGTAAAACAAAACGTAGATCATCACCCTGATCAGTTCTATTACAAACTCTTTGAAACTTCTTTAGTTCTAGAAATGAACCAGGGATGGAAGAAGAATTTGAGTTTAAATTTCTCTTTCACAGGAATCTACATGCTACTGTCAAAAAACACTTTGACGCAGACATGAACCCCCGAGACAACTCCATTAAAGAACTAAGAGAATGCGCTCGCAGAGCTTATAACATTCATGAAATGGATAAAGACCTTAAATCTGACTCTAATCGAGCAGAAACAGCACCTCCTACCCCTAAACAACAAGACAACATTTGCGAATGGAGACAAAAGTCTGATTAGGATGAACACTGTGAAAACAAAACAAAAAACTATGAGGACAAAAGATACTCTCAAACTAACAAAAAACATTCTCACAGATCTTCGTGCCAAAACTTTAAACCTTATAAAGACACACCTAAGTTCCAAAAATACAGGTCTGAGGATTCAGACTCTGATCAAACGATGGACTCAGGAAACTCAGACAGTGACACTGTAGATGACTCTTCTGATGACGGAAGTTTACTTTTAAACCCTGAATCACTATTCACCCAAAAAGAAGTGTTTATGATTCAGGCAGGCCAGGACTGCACCTGGACTGACCATCTCAGTGACAGAGATAAGGCGCAACTGTCAGAATACCAGCCTCCCTGGGACATATCCAAAGAAGGAGACACAGAGAATCTACAGTATACTTGCCACTAAAGCTAGAGGGCATCCTTGAGGAGGACGGCCTCATAGACACAGGCACAGCCATAACTCTCAGTCTGCTGCACTGCTAAAAGACCTTCAAAAAGCTACAAAACGCATTAAAAAGAAGGTAAACAAAAAAACTTGCTGCATGAGCATGACAATTTACTCTCAAGCTGAATCACCCTTACCCTATGTAACGCTAATACAGCTGCAGATAGGAAAAATGACATTTGAACACCCAGTTTATGTGTCAAAAGAAGGTAAAGAGCCGTTCCTGATAGGCCGAGACCTACTGAAACGTTTCCAACCGCTGATAGATGTCAAAAGTCTAAAATTGTACCCACAAACAAAACAGCCACTGCCCATCAAACTTCCTCCTGAGTTTAGCACCCAGCGTCCTACACTGAACAGCTCAGGAGGCAAAACAAACTCCTCATCTGGCACAAGTCCAGCCCAAGCAGAGAAACAGCTGAATCAAAACACAACTCAGCATGTAACCTCAAAGAGTAAACAAAACTCACACACACTAAATGATAACACATCAAAATTTAGGGCAGCTGAGCTGACACTAACTGCAGAAGCAGATGAACTCGCTAACGACAATAGCCATGTTCAACATGAAATTTCAGAAATTGAAATAGAAACTAAATTCATTCAACAACAGTTGAGAGACCCTAACATAGGCTCTATCATTCAATATTTATCTGACCCAGATAACAACACACCGTCTAAAGACATTCTGGCCTCAAACAGTGAACTTAGCACGCTCTACAAAATACGAAACCATTTGAAGATGGTCGAGGGCATTCTGACTTTTACTCATGAGACAACATCTTCACTTTTGCTCATGATGCCTCTTAGCTAAAGGGGGGAGATGCTTAAACAAGCCCATGACTCAGTTCATGTTGATAACTTTCCGTCCACAGAACTAAAAGTAATCAAAGCAACACTCAAGGCAGTGAAACAAATCGCCCACTGGCCAGGAATGAAAAAAGACGTGATAAACTACATCAAAAGGTGTAAGGTCTGCAACAAACACAAACAGACCAGACCACCACAAACTGATGCAAAACGTATTAGGACCAAACAAACTCCCTCAACAAACCAAAAGGTGGGGGGAATAGGCCTGATAACACGTTTTCACCAAACAAAGGGACAAGGAGAGTCCAGGACTGGAACCCTCGCCCACAAACTGACACCCAGGTGGACAGCACCCCACCTGACAACAGTCAAAATCAACAAAGGTCAGAAAGAACAAACATTAAAACGGGTCCACTAAAATCAACTGACAAGAAACAAAGATTTCACAAACAACTCAAACAAAAGGGTAAACCTACAGTCATGATCAGTGACAACACTCGATCAGACTCTCAGACCTCATGGGATAAAACAGGTCTTCCAAGCAGAAGACATTAAAACACAATAAAATAGGTCTAAAATAAATAGGTGTTAAAAAACAATCTACTGCTAAAACTTAGAAACACTAAGTCAAAATCTTAAACTTCAAGACGACGAGGTCTGACCGAAGCTGAGTATAGAATGCTTCGCCCTTCTGGTTAAACCCACATTATTTAAGATAAAAGTGTAAGAAAATTAACATCGTTCTTCCTCCTTTTTTCTTAACCTCTTCCTTGCTAACTCCTAAGATAAATAGCCTCAAATGTCTGGTATTTAACATCTAAACTGATGTTTGTGTTCTATTTAAGTGTGGTTAACAATTAAGAAGTTAAAAACTTGTTATTGTTAGTCCCAAAACTTTATAAGAAATAAATTGTTCACAATCAGGTGTACTCTAGTCAATTTTGTATGATTTGTAAAATAAATGATCGCATATTATGGTTCAAATCAACATTCACTGACTGAGAGTTACTTATTGTGTCCATTCAATTTTGCACGAAAGGAATGTTTACCCAAAATAAAAAGAGATCCCTTGCTAATTAAATTACTCTTATAACCTTGTTATAAGAAGTGCAAGTTAAACCCTTACGCCCTGCTGCGTCTTCAGCCTGTTAATACTTGGTCAGGAAGACGTACAAAATGATGCAATCACCGACTCGCTGTCTCACGTTGTTTTAAAGTATAAACCAAGCTTAAAGCAGGTCCTAAACACCAGCAAGAACAAAGTCTGAGCCATCAACATGTATGCAGTGTAATCAGATATCCAGCTGTTTAACAGCCTGGCCAAAGAGGAAATAGAGGCAAGTGATATTGAGAGTTGAAAGCTCCTCACAACACATGAAGGGTTTCATGTAAGTCCAGCGTCTAGACCAAGGGTAGAGAGTGGCAGGGCTAAGATACTGTGAGACGTCCAGATCCAGCTTGACAAACAGGTGATGGCAAACCAACTGGACACAGTGATGGTCGACGAGCTACAAAAGAAGGCAGTGGAGACAGATTTAGAGAGCCCCTGCGACTGTAACAGCAGGAAGAAGGACCATGAGAGGATTGAGAAAAACCAAAAGCTGTAAGAGGAAACAGAGTAGTTGTGGAGAGTCGAGGCATTCCAGTGGTCATCAGAACGCTTGATGATGTGACCCCCAAACTAGAAGAATGGCTCTAACAGATTCCTGGTATACCTTCAGAGATCTCTGTCCAGTCCTAGAAACAGCTAAGATACCAGTGTATATTTTATAAGCCAACAAACAAAAACTAACTGTGTGGGCTTCCGCAGTTTCATTCATATTTAAGATTAAAGTACAGACAAAAGAAAAAAAACACTCTTTATCTCTGCTGAGCTCATTTTTTCCTGAGATAGTTCACACCTTGCATCTCTGAACTTGCTCAGGCTCTGCCTTTCTAAAAACAGAGAAAGGAAGATGAACAAAAGGTTTAACAACAAACTTCTCTTAAGTTTTCTGAACTCCGTCAGTTAGGCATTGAAAGGAAACCCAACCCAGTTCAAGAAGGGTTCAGATGAGCTTCAGCACCTCTAAGGTGCCATTTGTTTTCTTTCAGACACATGGGGTTTTAAAACATAAGAGAACAACCCTTAACATGGTTGATGCATTTACAGTTCCTCTTTTTAACTGTCTCACCCAGTTAGAACAAAAATTCAACCAAATGTATAAACAGAACCCATGAAAGTTACTAATGATATTCTCATGGCCTCAGTGGACTTGTGTCCATTCTTGTCCTGTTAGATCTCAGTGCTGCATTTGATATACTTGATCACAATATGCTATTACAGAGGCTTGAACATCATATTAGGATTACAGTAACTGCTCTCAAATGGTTGAAATTATGTTTATTTGACAGATTCTAGTTTGTAAATGGTAAATGGTCTGAACTTATATAGTGCTTTATCAAGTCCCTCCAGACCCCAAAGCGCTTTACACTTACATTCACCCATGCACACACTGATGATGGTAAACTACATTGTAGCCACAGCTGCCCTGGGGCACACTGACAGAGGTGGGGCTGTCACGTACCAGCGCCACCCGACCCACTGACCACCATCAGTAGGCAAGGCTGGTGAAGTGTCTTGCCAAAGGACACAACAATTGAAATGGCTGGATGGGGGATCAAACTGGTGACCTTCCGGTTCCAGGACGTCTCCCCTAACCACCCCACCGCAGTCGCCCTATTGAATCTTCTTCTTACACCAGTTTTAGTCATGGAGTTCCTCAGGGTTCAGTTCTTGGACCAATCCTCTTTACTTTATATATGCTTCCATTAGGTAAAGTTATTAAACACAGCCTGGGATTAATTTTCATTGTTCTGCTGATGATATTCAGTTATATTTACCCATGAAACCTAATGAATCCAACCAGTTACTTAGATTACAAGCGTGTTTTAAAGACGTAAAAACCTGGATAACTCTTAATTTCTTACTTCTAAACTCAGACGACACAGAGGTTTGTGTTTTTCGAATCTGAGCATCAATCTTACTTCTAACATGCAAAGCTCTCAACAACCAAGATCTACCTTACATTAAAGATTTTATTGTCTCATATTTTCTTAACAGATCACTAGGCGTTTATATGTGGCTTCTAGAGTTTCCAAAACTAAAATTGGAGGTAGCACTTTCTGTTATCAAGCTCCCTTTGTGGAACCAACTTCCATTTTGAGGCTAACACCATGTAATGCTGATTTATACTCGACAAGATGTATAGAAACTTCTTCTCATCCTCACAGTTGTGTGACAAAAATTACATCATTTAGTTTTTGCAGCGCCTCCAAGAACCTATTCTGTGCACGAGCTTGGCAAAAAAATTAAAAAAAACTGACTGTTTCAAATGCGGCAGAATCAGCTAGCCAAGGCTTTTAAAAAGTAGTCAGCTTTACAAGTGTTTCAGCAAAACTTCCAAAGATGGTTAACGAACTTGTGGAAGGAGACTGCACATTTTTTGTAGACGGAGGAGACACAGGTGGCTCTGCTTGGCTGTGCTGACCTCAGCCGGACAGTGTAGAGCAGGGGTTTCCAACTAGTGGCTCGTGATCTACCGGTAGCTTGTGAGCTTATTTAAAGTAGCTCTTCAGTGCATTTTTAAAATTAAGAGAAGCAAAAGGTAATTTGTCACTGGCCAAACAAACTTTCATTTAATTCCAATCAATCTTTAGATGTCCCTTCCCGTTGATTGTCAATCAAACAGTACGGGGATTCTTCCAGCTGGAGTCTACATGTTTTTTGTGCAAAACCTGTTTATTTTAATGGTTTAAGTTTAAAATTAAATGTTGCAAAAAGTAGCTCTTGGACAATTTCTTTTTGTGAAAGGTTGGAGACCTCTGAAGAAACTGTGGGAAACAGTAGCTGTCTCTTTGCGCCAAATTTTCAACTAAGTGCTTCTCCTCGTTTAACAACAGAAGTACCAGATCTTCCTCCTCCAACTCCTCCATCATTGACTGAAAATAAACATCCACTCTGCCTGTGCAGTCGCTGTGTAGTTTCTGTTTGCATGTAATGTGTGCTGCAGTGACAGGAGTTCTCTATACAGTGTCTCTTTGAGCACAAAATGTCCATGCCAAAAAAAAAGACCGCCTCACAGCCATGACAGCGAGAACCTGTGTTGTATGTCCTGTCAAGAACATAGCAATGTTCCTTTTTCAGATGTATGACGTAAAAAATACTGGTTTGAATTTAATTTCAGGCAAAGGAATAAATGCTTTATGTTTTAAAAAAAACACAGGAAAAAGTGATTTGACAAGCGTCTGAGTAGGTGTGTTTACATACTGTAGATCGGGGTACGACGTGTACTTCTGTCATCAAAGGTCACAATATGAAGCTGTAAACTAGGTGAGGTGCTGCTGTGAAAAGCTGGAGCCCACGTCGCTGTGCTGCAGTTGCACGCAGCACATAGATACCTGAATGTGTGAACAAGGCTTGCAAAAAAACCACTGTAGTCCTGCTGCACTCAGGTTTGTGCCAAGACAACCAGAAAAGAGGAAGTTTGGTCACCCACACATTAGCAAACTGTGAGTCACAGATGTGAAACATTCGGTGCAAGCTGAATAAACTAGATGTTTTACATTTATTTATGAAGGCTTCATCAACATAGTTTTAAAAGAGAAGCTCACTTAATAATATCTGTTCAGCGATATCACAAAGAGTATCAAGCTCCTGATGTGAAATCGGTTTCACTTTTGCATCTACACAAGCCAAAGTAACCCCAACTCTCCCCACACCAGCATATCACTTTCAAGAGGAACCAAAAACTGTGGCAAAACTGTGAACCTACAAACATTTTCAGTGAAACAGTAAAGACAGGACAATGGAAACCAGAGCTGACTTCACAACTACAGACAAATGAATAACGTGAGAAAATAATGGCTGAAAACAAGACAACTAAGATTTTTGTGCATTGCAAGAAGAGGGTGGATAATAAAGTTTAAAGCTGCACAAATAAAACACAATATCATCAACATTAGTTTTAGCAGCTAATGTGCAGCAGATACAGCACATTGAATCTGAGACTGTGAGGAAACCAAGATGGACTGATTAGCTTGAGTTCTTAACACTAACATCTGAAGGAAAACCAGGCACCGCTCATCAGTTGTTCAACACCATCCTAACAGTGAAGCACGGTGGTGGCAGCATCATGCTGTGGAGGTGATTAAACTCCAGTCTCACTTTCTCATTATGGGGAATGATAAACAAAAAATGGAGGTTGCAACATGAAAGCAAAAAAAAGTGAAGGGGGTCTGGATACTTCCTGAAAAACTGACCCTTCTGGGTTCAAACTATTTAACAAAAACTCTGAATAATGTAACAAAATGGCAACGAGAATCCCAGCGGAGCACACAGGGAGGTTTATTGAGACGACAGAAATATTCAAGGCTTACTTTGCTGTTGAGCTGAGCTGCTTGAAGATGCTCAGAGACTGCCGGAGCATGCTGCGATCAGCTTTCCTACCAGAGTCTACCTCAGTCCCCTTTCAGTCTCATAAACGTGTCCTGCTCTGAAACGTTCCACACAGAGGGTCAGGGCTTCATCAGGAGGGAAAGACACAGGTAGGCGGATGTTGAACTGACTTGGTGGGTGTTGTTTTCATGTGTGTGTGTGCGTGTGTGTGTTTTTAGCAGTCGGTTTTTGTTCTTGTTTCATAAGTGTGCTTCTAGGTCACATGTACCACAAATTAGCAAACGAGGAAGTTGCACATATGAAATGTAAGCTGTGAGAAGGATGAAAAAGTTGTCTTTTTTTCCCAGAGTTTGACGCTTATCCAACGCTACACTTGTGTGTTTTCACTCAACAGGGCGGGAAGTATTGTACACATGTGGACAGAACATCTGTCCTGACTTTACTGACCTCTGCCTCTGCTTGGGATGCATCCTGAACAGTTTGCAATCGTTCCTCACTTCTCTAAATGCAAACAATTTGCACTAAAGAGTTAAAAGGATGTGAAATGACCAAAGAGGAAACTGTCAAATTGTTGTTTCTTGTAAAATTCTTTCTCAACTTAAAAAAAAGTTTGACTGTCAAAATCTCAGACGATCTGACTGAAAGCTCTGCTTGTTGGATTTACCCTAAAATATCCTAAACAAAAAGTAATTTAATGGATTTCTTTCTAGACAGTGTTTTAATAACTGACCTAACCTACAACCAGTAATACACAGTTTGATTTTGTTGTATTATAATTGGAGTTAACTGGACTGCATGTATGAGGACATAAAGTAAAGCTATAAACAGTTTTTGTACCCGTATGAAGCTCATAATACCAAATATTCAGCAGCATATTCTCTTATCTGACAATCGATATTAAAAACATGCTGCAGGTTCTGTACATTTTCTATTAAACTAATCAATAATCTTTTTATTTTTATTTTATTTATTTTTTTTGCCACTTCAGTAGAAAGCAGAACTAGAAGAATATTAGTATCTTAGCTTCTTCATCATCAGTGGCTTTTTTTAATAGGAGAAAGAGAAAGAGAAAGAAAAAAGTAAAATGTAATGAGAAAGAGTGAAAGAGAGATTAGAAGATATGTGAAATATATGTTGAGAAATCACAAGACAGCGCACCCGACTTCTTGGCTCCACACCTACAAAAACAAAGATAGCAAAACCACAGCAACAAATATGCATATCTATATAATTATAATGACTATAGCCTTGCTGAAAACCATACCCATATACATATATAAATTTATACATATACACATAAACATACCCATACCTACATATCCAAACACTTTCATATATATACACATACATATATACATATATCTATACATACACATATTGCACATACCATTCAGTCAGTGCCCGAATAGAAAACCCAGGATGTAAACACCTGTTTGTGTGCGGTTGTGAGCATGCATGTATATACAAGATCTCTCCAATGGAATGTTTCAAAGTGACTGTGGGGGACCACAGACCTGACCCGCAAAGCCGGAAGCCGACATAAGGGAGACCAGTGCCAAAGACCCCGAGAGGGACCCCAAGTGCGCAGTCCCAGAGACACCCGTGCCGGAAGGGCTGCCCACCCACACCCCAAAGAGGACCACCGGAGAGAAGCGGAAGAGCCACACCAGCAACCACACACAGCAACCCCTGGGGCCAGCAGCGACGAACTCACAGGCCCTGCCAGTACCAACCGCGCCAGAGTGGATCCAGGCAGGAACACAGAGGCCCGGGCCCCCAGGGCACCCCCCCAGGCCAAGGCCCGACAGGGCCAGAGGGACCCAAGCCCCACCGGGCAGCCACCGGGCCGAGCCGGCACATGCCCAAGCACCCAGCCCCGGACAACGAGAGCCACCAGTGCGCCGGCGGGCAAAGGCACAACCCACCAGAGGACAGCATGGCAGGGGAGTAATGGGCCTCAAATGATCCCGAAGAAGGGGCTGCCCAAGTCCCAGCCTGACAAAAATTCAAGCATGCATAAACACAATCACATAGTCCCACCTTCATCCTCTCACCCACTCATTCAAAGACACACAAGATGGACGCCACAATCCACTCACACTCCCCATACATACTACATACCCCCGAGGTCCAGGATATGCACATACCCCCTGCAGAGGACAGCTCACACCCGAACCCAGGAGGTAGACCCCTTCAATCTGGGGTGGAGAAGAGAAGACAGCCAAGTCCCAGCCCGGGCCGCACCAGTCCGACCGACCAGCCACCCACCCCAGCAAGCCACACCCTGGACCACCCCCACACCCTACCAACGGCCAGGTGCCCACCCCCAACCGACCACCCCCAGACTCCGGCAGCCACCCCAGCCAGTGGGCCAACCACAGCAACCAGGAGCCAGACTCCGGGAGCCCGAACAGCCCCAGGGAAGCCGGAGCGCTAGCCC